TGATGGTCATACCGACCGAAACATGTGCGGGAAGTTTTCTGTTAATATTCTGATTCTGAAACACCAAATTTTAGGTTTTCTTTGTCTGTAATCTACAATCATCAAAATTACAAGAATTAAAAGCTTAAAAATTTTATTGTTTAACAATCTCAATAAATAACCAATTTAATTTCTGAGAAATGTTTGCATTTTTATACAATATTCTCTTTTAAAAAAGCGGCTCTGTGTTTATGCTTTTTATCTTGACAATGACTGTGGAAGCAGATCAGTTTTATCACAGACGTAATGGTTTAACAAAAAAAGTAAAGTAAAACAATTTGTGTTTTATAAAGGTAAAAAACTTCCACGGATCACTCATCAAGGCTTCACCTTTTTATCTGGCATTGCCTCGCTACATGATCCCTTCCTGACCCTTTCGAGACTCGACATGTCTTTGCTCTGAATCTCGTCAGCCCACTCGTGTCTTTGTTGCATTGTAAACATGGCTTATGGCGGGTTAGCGGAGCTCCAGCCATCAGCCTGGAGGACGTAGAAGCTGTCAGAGAAGCTTCTCTCCAGGCATCTTATCTTCCGCTCCTCGTAGATGGAGATAATGGTGAGCTGAAAGTGGTTGGATTTGTTGACATTCTTCTGTGATGAGATAAAAGATGGAATTCAGAACGGTTGTTTGTTTTGATTAGGTGATTTTTTTTTTCTTTTTTTTTTTTCTTTTGTCACCAGTTGAGGTGTTAAGAGAGGTGTTATCCCCGCTTTGTTGTTTTGAATCCGTTAATTGAGGGCTCTGTTCGCACAAGCCTCTTTGAATGGTGGTTGCCTGAAACGAGTTCCTGGTAGAGATGAAGATGCGTTTGGAAACATGCAGGACAGGCATGTGTGAATAAAAAACAACCCTTGGATATAATGGATCGAGCTAGCAAAAGAAAAATATGTTTGTGTTTTGGAAAAGGTGTGTTACAAGGCTCTAAACACGAGGAAATTAAGTTTGTTTTGAGGAAAATAAAGTCTGGTCACATCTTTGAAGAATGGGCTTTGCTTTTGATAAGCTCCCACTTTAAACAGTAAGTTTTTAAATCTAATGTTGGGAGTTTGGAAAAGAACTTTTAATGTTTTGTTTTCTTTTTCATACTTTTAAATTCAATTCAGTTTATTTCTATAGCGCCTATTCACAACACATGTCATCTCAAGGCACTTTACAGTTCAACCAGATCATACAGTCAAATTGATTCAAAGTTTTCTATCTAAGGAAAACCAGTTGATTGCATCGACTTATTGACTCAAAGGCAATCCCTCACACTGATCATGCTTGTAGCGACAGTGGAGAGGAAAAACTCCCTTTTAACAGGAAGAAACCTCCAGCAGAACCAGGCTCAGTGTGAGCGGACATCTGCTGAGGCCGACTGGGGTTCAAGGAGGCAGAAGCAGAGATGCAGAAAGCAGCTGTAAAAGGCGGCCCGAGCCAGCTCCCATGTCAGAGGATGAAGAGAGCACATCCAACTAGTCACATTCAGAAAAACAGGACTACACTGGAAAACAGGCCGATCTCCAGCATCTATAAACAAAGGAGTTGATGGCAGCAGCACAGCTGATATTTCTCTCCAGGATGGAGTCAAAGCCAAACAGGAACAGACGACTCTTAAAAACCTGTTTTAATTAAACTGTTCATCAAAGTTTAAGTCAGGCACTTTTTTATTATATGTTTGTTTGCAACAATAATGGAACAGAATTGACTCCATACAAAAGGAAGCCAGCCGTCGCTCTACCAGTGAAGGGTCTAAGCCAGGCGTGTCCGTCTGTCCTTGAGGGCAGGTGTCCTGCTTTAACAAACCTTATTCAGAGAATTGCCCTTCAATAAAAGACTGAATCAGCCATCTATGAAAAAACAGGGAAACCTCTAATGCTACATTCAGACCGGACACAGCAAAAGCAGCAAAGTCGCGTCTGCTGCTTCCTTTTTGCTGCTTGTACCAGTTAGTTCTGACGCGCGGCTGAAGCAGCTTTGCTGCTCTGGCTGCACGGTGCAAAGGTGGCTCTGACGCGCATTGGGCGGAGCTTCACTATCCTTTCTCTGCCTTGCAGCTATATTTGCTGTGATCAGTGGGAATAAAGTAGTTTTAATATGTTTTTAAGTGAGAAAATACACCTGAAAACTTAATCAGTGCAGTTAGTTCATCCAGATTACAATCCTGCCTCCCAATGTTATTTCTGTCGGAGCCGCTCAGACCCCCACATACCAGCGGTGCGCCGACAGCTGGAATCCCTTCAACAGCAGCCTCTGGCCGGGTCGCCTCCTCGCGGTTCACCGCGGCAGCTGGTAGGTGTTTTTCATCTAAATAATCCAAACTGCAGGCACCAGAATAATAAAAGCGAACATATTCTGCCGGCAGATTTCTGCATTTTAAGTTAATTATGCGTTAATAAACTGTTTAAGAGGAGTGATCAGAGCGGTCTGTGTCATCAGCGCTGTGTCTCTCTCCCAGCCAACTCCCAGATCAGCTTCTCTGATTGGTTGACGCGGCGCGTCGAGCAGCAAAAATTCAATTTTTCCATCTCGAGCAGCAGCGCGTTTGCAGCGCGTCAGATGCTTAAACGCGCCCGACGCGCTGCTTCAGCTGCTCAGACGGGCCTGCTGCTCAAAACGCGCCGCGGGACCTTTTGCTGCGCCTTGACGCGCGTCAACCATTGACTTTGCATGTAAACTCACTGCTTCTGTCGCGCCAGCTGCGTCCGGTGTGAACGCAGCATTAAACATGCAGGACTGACCTAAAAGTAATTCAATCCAAAACCTTAAATCACTCATTGTTTCACCTGTACAGGTCTGTGTTTTCGTGTCCCTCCCCAGACAAGCACTGTACGCACCACTTGTTGCATGTTTTTTATTAACACTAAAGCAGCTGATACTGATTAGCAACTATTCTTCTTATTTACTATTTTAACTAACTGTTATTTTGAAGACAAGCCTCACACTTTAAAGGCAGAATTGAATCTGACATTGTTGCAGAATCTCCTTCTGTGATGAAAGGGTGGAATGAGCTTGTTTGTCTGATGTTTATCAGGAATCGGGCTGATACCCACCTTAGCCATAACGACCCGATATTCTGCAGCAGAAAAGTTTTGAAGGTTTGGGATATTTCATAGTGGCCCATCTCCAGTGTGGGTGCATGGGAACCTCCTCGTTCTCTCTACAGGGCTCCATATTGCCTACAATTGGGTAGCCATTAGGGTGAAAGTTTGAGGTGATAAGTGGGCAGACATGCGTGAAAAGCAGAGGAGAGATAACTAGTTAAACCTGAGGGAAGGGGACTTATCTGATTCTCTTATCCCAATCGCCCAAGCAAACAGAGTTGTTGAAAAAGATCTATCCTGATAACCTGAGGATCTCTCCAAATTCTTTCCCTGTTGAGCAGATTAGAAATGTGGATTTGAAAACAGACAGTTTATACTGTCTTCCTGTAGAATAACAGAATTGGTTTAAGTAGCTTTTTTAAGAGTTATCTTTGAAAGTTTTTGCCATTGAGGGGCAATTAATATTCAGAGATTACTGTGGCTATCATAACTATAAAGCCTCCCGGAATGAGTAAAATAACCCAACTAGGCTGTGGGCTCATTAAAGAAGAGTCTTCTGCTCTAAACTCAATCAGAACATATTCCCATGGAGGACATCCATGGCTTCCAGCCTGTGATCAAACCACATTCATATCAATAATCAGTCATGTTTCAGTTTTTTATTTTACCAGACAAAACCAGCTCCTGTTTGCCTAAAAAAATCCACCTTAAAGTCGTAGGGAAGTCATATTTAAATGTCTAATCATTCTAGCTTAAAAATGTATATAAATGTACTCTTCATCAGACCATATTGTCCCAAAATTAAGGCAAGGCAAGGCAACAACATTTTGAGTGTGCGTTAGAGACATCTCCAGCAACCACAACAAAATAAAACCGCAGTAGTTAAAGTCATTTTTGCTAACCAGTTAGCAACTTGGTGCTAGTAGGTTCCCAATGGGAATGCTAACGTATAACTAACTGGCCTGCATAAGATAATGAAAAAAAACAGCAACACAGGTTTTAAGACAGGAATTAAAAAAAAAAATAGAAATTGTATAACTTTTAGGACAATGTCGTGTGACATGTTTAAGCCAGAATGATTTGACATTTAAAGATGAATTCCCTACGACTTAAAAAACTTCTAAAAGAGAAATGCCGCCATGACAGCACGGTACCATATGGATAGCATTGACACATCAAATTGGACTGGGGTGAACAACTCCAGCCTGACAGTTTTATTCAGAGTTTCTCAGTTTTTCACTCTTTAGCTGGTTCCCAACATGGGAGAATCTTTCCTCTGGATGAGTTTGGTCCCGTGGGTTCAGCTGAGTGGGTTTGTCTATAGTTTGATGGCCTTTGAATTGGAAGCAAACATTCGCTGCTTATGATTGATGGTCATAATAATGTGTTTGCTTGTCATCTGTGTACTGATCTTGCAGTTTTCTGTTTCAGTGATGACAGTGACATGGAATTTGGAAATGGTTTGCGGCTTTTGGTAAATTAGGGGCCTTGGAAGGTCTGTCTGTGCTTTTACCGGGACTGATTGGTTCCGGTCTGCTTTCCAAGCCAATCCTGTTGAAGTTCATCTAGTTGATCTCTTTCTCTCAGCTGTAAAGGTCTGTTGTTTGGAATGAACTCAGTGTTGTTTCTGCTCATTATTTAATGTCAAAACTTCTCATTAACCTCTACAGAAAAACAAAACAAAAAGGGATAACAAACTCCGCACAACAACTATTCCCCACATGGGAGCAATCATAATTCTTACTGTGTCATGTAAACAGTTCAAAAACCATCCAAACTGAGTTGAATTTATTGCCTCTGTTCTTATAAATTACTACATTTTTATTCAGCTAATCAGTTTAATGACCTCTTTGCGAAGTCGGGGATGTCGTGGTGGTCCAGTGTGTTTGTGAGATGATGTTAACGGCGACTTTGTGATCTGCTTCCCCTTCTGGCAGGCTTCACACAGCGCAGAGAGTCATCAAACAGACCCAGATGACGGTCCAGAAGAGCGGGAAGGAGATCGAGGAAAAACTGAGAACCACAGCGGCTTGCACTGAGCGGGTGAGCCAGCCTGTCAATATCTTTAAATCTCAAGTGTTTCATCAACTTTCTGCTCTTTTCTAGACACATCATTCAAGTTGAATATGATGTATGCACTCTTCATCAAGATAATCATTCACTAGAACTCCCAAGGCCGTCATTTTGACGGTTCTGAGATTTTAAAGGGAAAGACCTTATTTTAAAATTAATCTTATGTTGCTCATGTTAACTGACTTTTCCTATTTCTATATTTCCTTCATTTTCATGTATTTTTTCTTATAAAATAAAAATGTAAAAAATAAATATGGTCAATTTTACCTGGATCTCTCACAGCAATGACGGCTGTGCGTAGAAACCAACATTCTTCCTAGAACTCTTTGGCTATTATGGAAAAATGGCTTTCAGAAGAAATCTAACAGTGAAACAGGCTTTAGAATTGCTTCAAAATATTGATGATAGCGATTTGGTTGGAAAGGGAGAGACCGATGAGGAGGACTGAGTAGAAAGAGAAATGTTTGGGGGGAATCAATCAATTTCTGTGAATAAAATTATAATTTCAAACTTTAAACCTGTGTAGTAAAATAGTCTTGCTTTATGGATTTATTTCTACTACAAATTTAGAACACAAATAATAATAGCATACAATACAGCCTTTGAAAAATATGTATTAGACCTGTTTTAAGGTTTACGTATCCACAATGGGTTTATAACGCACAGAACCATCTCAGTTGATGACATCATCACTACTCATGTGTTCGATTGGGAGAAATGTCACCAACCAGTGGGAGTTCTAGTAGGATCTGAATAATGGGAGTTCTAGTGTTAAACAGGTTTTTAAAGAGATTAATTTATCAGAATATTATTGACAAGCTCCAATGTTTTTTCTAAAAACTTTAACTTAAAGGTGTACGTTTCTAATGCAGGGCTTGATGTTAACCATTGCCCGATCGCCCGGGGCAAGTAGTTTTTATTGTTGGGAGAGTATAAATTTCATTGCATTTGCCCGGCGGGCAAGTGCAGTGATCGCAAAAAAAATTTTTTATCACTCAAAATTACTTTCAAATCCCAGACATTCGCTGAAAACAACCCACAAGCGTTGCCGGCGCCATTTTTGTTGTTTTGTACACATTCTCGCGTGATTTGAAAAAGCTGCATGATTTTCCACTAGATGGCGTGATTCAGCTCTTGGGGAGAGAATTCTGCAGAGCAGCAGCTGGATGATGAATTTAATCTATACTATAATACACGCTAGATTAAAAATGATCAGTCAGGGATTAGGAAAATAATAATAATAATTGTATGCGTACATTGTAAATATTTTTATCATATGGCAGTGTTCTGTACAGTGATCATACATTAAAAAATGTTCATTACATTTTTTTCTCTTAGACATTGGAGTGGTGCATTTGAATGTTATAGAGCTAAACATGTTA